CAAGGCGCTTAAATGATATTTAATGCTAAAATCTTGCCTTTTTACCACACCAATTTTTGTATGTCAATGCATGAAAAATGTAATAATCAGTGAAAAACACGATATTTGTCTAATCAACTTCTGTTTTGTGATCATGAATTTTGCAAGCGTCTACTGGTCGGGGACCATCAACCGGACACTTTTTTCACATTTTTCTGTACAGATTTCATAATTTTTAACCTAGAGACCTAATGAATTTGACACAGTTCAGCTAGGTTTTTCTCCTAACCAGCAAACTAGTTTGTTTATTTCTGATTGTATTGACACTTGTATCTGAGGCCCTACAAGGAGGGTATAAAAATTACCTAAATTGTTTACACTACAGTACCATGTGTCCGGACAGATATGTACATGATGTGATTTAATTCAGATAAAAGCTTGGGTGTTTTAATTTTTGATTTTTAACATGTTATACAATATTTCAGCAACAAATGCTGAAGTTTTGGATATTCTATTGTTTACTCTGCAAATGATTATAGCTGGTATATGAGGTCAGGCATTGCTTTCTTGACCCCCAAATTTCTATGTCAACATTCTTGAAATAGACATTAAAATATTACCATTTACGGAGGTTGAAATAAATTTATTTACTTAATTTTAGAAGAAACATGGATTTATTGTTGATAAAAAAAGGACTGACAACCACTGAACAAAGAAAATACTTAATTAAGCATTTTTTGGGCCGTCCGGGTTTGGTGGTTGTCCGGTTTTGGTGGTCCCCAACCAGTAGAGGTACTTCTCCAATCCTGTAATGAGTAAAATCCCCCCAAAAAAGCATGAAATATCTTCTAGTGAGTGTCTACCAGATTTGTTCAAATAAAAGCCCCAGGGTTAAATTGGCCCTGTCCCGGGGGTCTGATTTTCCTTACATGACTATAGTAAAAACTTTTAAAAATCTTCTTTAAAAAAAAACCCAAAGAGCAAGAGCTTAGATATTAAGCATAAGAGATTTTCAAATGGGTGTCGATCTACAAAGTTTGTTCAAATAATTTAAGCCCAAGGGTCAAAATAAACCCCATCCCAGGGGGTTATTGATTTTCCTTATATATACATATATATAGTTAAAACTTAAAGACTCTTCTTGTGAAATTCCAAAAGTGCTAGATCTTAGATATTTTGCATAAAACATCTTCTAGTGAATGTATACCAAGTTTGTTCAAATGAACGCCCTATCGTCAAATTGGCCCGGCCCCAGGGGTCATTGATTTTCCTTATAATTATGTACTGTAAATCCTGTATTTTTAGCTCACCTGTCACAAAGTGACAGGGTGAGCTTTTGTGATCGCTTTTCGTCCGGCGTCCGTCCGCACTCACAGGACAGTAATTATGTGGCTAGAGGGACAATAGGTAACTGTTCTTTCTCTTTGATGTCATTCATTCCGTAATGCTTTTATGTGGCTATTTTCTTTTGTGTGGCTAAAAAGAACAATAGAGAGAACAATAGAGTAGCCACATTATTACTCTCTTGTTAGAACTTCCGTCCGTCGTCCGTCCGTCCTTCCCTCCAACATTTTTGTCCGGAGCATATCTCTAAATGTATTTGAGTTATCAACTTGAAACTTCATAGGTGGATAGACCTTATTGAGGAGGAGTGCAGTGCACAAGAATGATAATTCTACCCTGCATAATTTTTGAGTTATTGCCCTTTGTTATTTTTCAAAATTGATTTTTGTCCAGAGCATAACTCAAAAAGCCTATGAGATATCAACATGAAACTTCATAGGTGCATAGATCTCACTCAGGAGGTGTGCAGTGCACAAGAATGATAACTCTACCTTTCATAATTTTTGAGTTATTGCCCTTTGTTATTTTTCATACCTAATTTTTCACCCGAGTGGAGCATAACTCAAAAGTGTTTGAGATGTCAACATGAAATGTCATAGGTGGATAGATATTATTGAGGAGGAATGCTGTGCACAAGAATGATAACTCTTCCCTATACAATTTTTGAGTTATTCCTCTTTGTTCTTTTTCTTAATATTTTGTCCGGAGCTTATCTCATAAAGTATTTGAGGTATCAACTTGAAACTTCATAGCTGGATGGATCTCATTGAGGAGGAGTGCAGTGCACAAGAACGATAATTCTACCCTGCATAATTGTTTAGTTATTGCCCTTTGTTATTTTTCAAAATTAATTTTTGTCCAGAGCATAATAATAATAATAATAATAATAATAATAACTTTATTTACCGAAGGTAACACATTAAGACATATACAGGTTGCAACATCTTATTTACAATGCGGCCTTCTAAAATAAAAATAAAAACACACACACACACACAAAAGAACACATAATTATCAATCAAAGAAAATATAACATGTAAAAAGAAATGATTAAATGGTTATCACAATTTTAACATATATTAACACATATACTGAACATTCATACAATTCATTTTATTTATCATTAAACATAATACTTTCATCAGTGCATCATTTTAATCTGCAATTTAAAAAGTAAAATTAACTTACAAAATTAACACAGTCAAAAAAACAAAAAAACTTGAAACTCTAAAAGCCTATGAGATATCAACATGAAACTTCATAGGTGCATAGATCTAACTCAGGAGGTTTGCAGTGCACAAGAATGATAAGTCTACCTTTTATAATTTTTAGCTCACCTTGCACAAAGTGCAGGTGAGCTTTTAGGATGGCCAACAAAATGACGTCCGTCGTCTGTCGTCCGTCCACATTTTAAATATTCTAAGGACATCTTCTATGATACCGCAAGGCCAATGTTAATGAAACTTGGCAGGAATACTCTTTGTATGAAGCTCTATCAAGATTGTTCAAAGAATTCCATTTCATGCAGAACTCTGGTTGCCATGGCAACCGAAAGAAAAATCTTTAAATATCTTCTTTTAAAGAACCGAAAGAGCTAGAGCTTAGATATTTGGCATGAAACATCTTCTAATGAGTGTCTACCAAGTTTGTTCAAATAAAAGCCCTAGGGTCAAAATTGGCCCGGCCCCAGGGGGTCATTGATTTTCCCTATATGCATATAGTAAAAACTTAAAAAATCTTCTTTTAAAGAACCCAAAGAGCTAGAGCTATGATATTTGGCATGAAACATCTTCTAGTGAATGTCTACCAAGTTTGTTCAAATAAAAGCCCTGGGGTCAAAATTGGCCCCGCCCCACTGGGTCATTGATTTTCCCTATATGCATATAGTAAAAACTTAAAAAATCTTCTTTTAAAGAACCCAAAGAGCTAGAGCTAAGATATTTAGCACGAAACATCTTCTAATGAGTGTCTACCAAGTTTGTTCAAATAAAGGCCCTGAGGTCAAAATTGGCCCTGTCCCAGGGGGTCATAGATTTTCCCTATATGCATATTGTAAAATCTTAAAAAATCTTCTTTTAAAGAACCCAAAGAGCTAGAGCTAAGATATTTGACATGAAATATCTTCTAGTGAGTGTCTACCAAGTTTGTTCAAATAAAAGCCCTGGGGTCAAAATTGGCCCCGCCCCGGGGGGTCATTGATTTTCCCTATATGCATATAGTAAAAACTTAAAAAAAACTTCTTTTAAAGAACCGTAAGAGCTAGAGCTTAGATATTTGACATGAAACATCTTCTAGTGAATGTCTACCAAGTTTGTTCAATTAAAAGCCCTGGGGTCAAAATTGGCCCTGTCCCAGGGGGTCATAGATTTTCCCTATATGCATATAGTAAAAACTTAAAAAATCTTCTTTTAAAGAACTCAAAGAGCTAGAGCTAAGATATTTAGCATGAAACATGTTCTAATGGGTGTCTACCAAGTATGTTCAAATAAAAGCCCTGGGGTCAAAACTGGCCCACCCCGGGGGTCATTGATTTTCCTTATATGTGTATAGCAAAAACTTAAAAATCTTCTTTGAAAAAACCCAAATAGCTTGAGTTTAGATATTATACATGAAACATTTTTAAGTAAATATCTACAAAGTTTGTTCAAATAAAAGCCCAGGGGTCAAAACTGGCCCTGCCCCAGGGGTGTCATTGTTTTTAACTATATGTGTATAGTAAAAACTTAAAAAATCTTCTTTTAAAAAACCCAATGAGCTAGAACTTAGATGTTTAGCATGAAACATCTTCTTATGGGTGTCTACCAAGTCTGTTCAAATAAAAGCCCTTGGGTAAAAATTTGCCCGGGGGGAGGGGGGGGGCTATATACAGGTGAGCGACCTCAGGGCCAACATGGCCCTCTTGTTTAGTTATTGCCCTTTGTTATTTTTCATACTTAATTTTTCAATTCAATTTTTTTCTTAAAAGTATTTGAGGTATCAACTTGAAACTTCATAGGTGGATAGATTTTACTGAGGAGGGATGCAGCACACAAGAAAGATAACCTACCCTGCATTATTTTTCAGTAATTGCCCTTTGTTATTTTAAGCCATCAGTATTCACATAGGTTTCAAATCTGTAATCACTATAGCCATCAGTTTTCATTACCAAAAGACCTTAAAATGGAGTTATTCTGCTCTACTACATATACATTCTTCCAATGAGCAAACACATTCGGCGGGGGATGGCCATGTTGACATGGCTCTTGTTATATTAGCCATGCACCTTTGGTTATAAATTACATTGCCAGTGTGTGATGTAGTGATTTATTTTTACTTTGAAAAAGTATGACTTTTCTAGCAAGCATCTCAGGTTAGCAGTCTAGTACCATAATGGCCCTCACATTCAGTAAATTTAATATTTTCATATGATTATTGAAATGATAATGATAAATCTTCTAATAAGTTCTGAAATTTCATCAGTAAGTTAGGGTGTAAGATGATTTGTGTATTCCAAAATGACTTCACTTCTGAACATTTTATATATGAACTGCAAGCCACTTTGTCTCCCAGTGAGCCAGTATATCCTTGGAGACAGAAATTCTGGTCCAGACCACAACATAATGATGGAAAATATCTATTTCTTCAAGCTCACTTGACTACCTTTACAAACTTTGAGAGTGTTTTGTTCTATTTTCCAGGATGTATCTGCAAACACATAGTGAGCTGATCAAGGCGAGGAAGAAGGAAATCATAGAAAAAACAACATTTTCAAATGAACAGTTGTTTTATATGATGGAAGTTAGAAATCGTGTGTGGAATGCTAAAACTGCTGTAATCAGGTATCTTATATTATTTATATTCAGGTATTGGGGCAGTGCACAGGTGTGACAGCACTTTACATAGAAAATGTAATATCATTACTGTCATGTAGCCCCAGTGCAAAGTGTAATTAATAAACATGGCAAAATGTATTGCCTTTTTGCTTTTCTTTGGCCAAAAACTTTTTAATTGAAATTTTTCAAAATTATTCAGTAGTGCATATTCTAACCACTTGGTTTTCCAAAAACTTAACTAGCTTTTTAGCTCACCTGAGCTACCTCAGGGTGAGCTTTTAGGATCGTTGTATGTCTGGCGTCTGTCGTCTGGCGTCCATCCATTCTTGTTCATTAACACTCTAGCGGTCACATTTTTGCCTCAAGCATCATCAAACTTTGTCAGAATGCTAATCTAGGTAATAACTCGGATGAGTTCGAACATGGGTCATCTTGGATGAAAAACTAGGTCACAAGAGCTAAAAATAGAAAAACCTTGTTAACACTTTAGCGGTCACATTTTTGCCTCAATCATCATCAAACTTGGTCAGGATGCTCAGGATGCATATCCTGGTAAAAGCTTGATGAGTTCGAACATGGGACATTTTGGATGAAAAACTAGGTCACAAGAGCTAAAAATAGAAAAACCTTGTTAACACTCTAGTGGTCACATTTTGGACTCGATCATCATAAAACTTGGTCAGGATGCTTGTCTAGGTAATTGCTCGGATGAATCAAACATAGGTCATATCAGATGAAAAACTAGGTCACAGGAGCTAAAAATAGAAAAACCTTGTTAACACTCTAGTGGTCACATTTTTGCCTCAATCATCATCAAACTTTGTCAGGATGCTTATCTAGTTGATAGCTCGGATGAGGTCGAACATGGGTCATCTCGGATCTAGGTTACAGGTGCTAAAAATAGAAAAACCTTGTTAACACTCTAGTGGCTACTGTTTTGATCCAAATATCCTGTTAATTGGTCTGAAAGTTTGTTTTGATGATTTCTAGGTCAAGTTCGAGCATGGGTCATCTCGGATGAAAAACTGGGTCACACTGCCTAAATATGGAAAAACCTTGTCAACACTCTAGTGGTCACATTTTGGAGTGTAGGACATTAAAAATCTAAATGTAAATTATCTTTAAAACAATTGCATTTATTTGTTAAATTAAACATACTGATTTTGACTTGTCTCAAGTTCCAGATTTAAACTGACGAGATTCTCAATAACAATTGTTTGATGGACTGGGGGGGGGGGGGGCTTTTACCTGTATTTTTGATGGGGGGGGGGGGCTTTTTTCCTACTTGTAAATTTCATGGGGTGGCTTTTGTCCACCTTGTCATTTTTAGATGGGGGGGGGGCTTTTGTCCGTAAATGTATTGTTTCGCGTCATTGTAAATTATCTGCCCTTAAATTTAACTCAAGGGCAGATACCTCGAAAATGAGAACAGTGACCTCAAATTTTTTTCTGTTTAAAATGTTTCTGTTATCATATTCTAATAGCATGCAAATTTTAAAGAAATTCTACGGAACAGTTTTAATTTTGCCTATATGTCTATATGAGAACTCCGGAAAAGGTCTTTAAAGCCCATTATGCCCTAAAATGTTTAAAGCCCATTATGCCCTAAAATGGTTTTATATTTATTTTTCAAAAATTTTTTTTTACTTTTTTTTTCCTGTCATATTTAAGTTTTGAAGTTTTTCATTGCCATCCTTGGCTAATGACCTGAATCATATTTGCTTCTATTGCTTTTCATCAATTAGTACAGTTGAAGTGATTTTAGTATATTGTATGTAAGTCAAAATACTACAATTTTTACATTTTACTACTTTTATGACAAATAGTTTCATATTTAGCGCTAAAGCACCTAGCATATGCTAAAACCATTATCTACAAAATGTAAGTGATATAAAACTCATGTTTGCCTTTTCTTGAGAAAGAAAAAAATATTCATTTCTGGGGCTCAAGTGCCTTTAACATGAAGTTTGATTTTGAACATTATAAACATTAAATAAACATTATTCACATATACATGTACATGTATTTAGATAAAATTTATAGGTTTGACACTCTTCATGAATGCATTGTGAGTGGTACAATATTTCAAGAATTTTTAGAAAAAACAAATCAACATCTATGTAAGAATTAATTGTTCCTCATTAAAAATATGGAATAATTTTATAGACTTAGTTTGATTGAATTTTTAATTTATTTTAAGGCATTTCAAATCATGCTTCAGTTTGTAAAATATGTGGAATTTCTTTTTATTTTAAACCACTAAAAAGATAGTTAACAATGTTTGTAGAGAAAATGATGTAAGAAGAAGAAATGCTGAACTTGCGATTCGTGATAAAGCATTTGCGGACAGAGATGAAAGGGAACTGTCTGCAATACAAGAAATGGCAAAACAGAAAGTAGTTCAAGCAAAGGTATGTTTGCCACTGTTCTTTCTTTTTATATTGAATGGCTGCACCCCTAAGAAAAGTGTGTCTTGTTTAGTCATAAAATTTGTTTATAGAAATTGTGGCCCTTATGGATAGTTACAAAATGTCATTACATTTATATGTGGGTTATGTAATATGAAGGGACAAGCAATTACTGACTTGGTAAATGGTCTTATGAGATGGAGAGCAATTGACAGCAGATTGATTGATAAGTGTAGCATATATCATTATTGTGACATCATAGAGATGGATCAAATTGATCAATTAATTTAAATGTATAATTAATTTATCAATTTGATCCATCTCTATGATGTCACAATGTTATAACATTATCATCTTATATATCACTGAATTGTGTATCTCAAATTTTGTTTTATAATTAACTTCCTTCAAAGAGGTGCTACTGGGATTTATTTTATTTTTTTTTGAATGACTGTAAAAAAGTTATTTATTCATTTATCACATAAACTGCGGGGCAGGAGTGTAAAAAAGCCATTTAATAAAAACGATATTACACTAGTGTAATAACACTTTGACCTGACGTCATTTGCCCTATATATTAACATAGCGTTAAAGCACGTTATTGTTAGCGTTACACTATAGGCGCGTCATTGAAAAATTACTCATTTTAACAGTTTACTGTTCTTATTTTATGTATGTGTTAAATAGAATATTATATTCGTGTAGATTCAATACTAAATTTATTGAACTTGTTGAATAAAATAATATTATGCTCGCCGGAGGCTCGCATAATATGATTTTATTCAACTTGTTCAATAAATTTATTATTAAACTACATTCATTCAATATCCTCTATATCTCCCTACTAGGAAATGTTACTTTGAGAATGTCAAATTATCTGTTAACTGTTTATTTTGTATTACTTGACGATCATTTTGAATTCATGTAACTTCATTTTGAGCGTGATTGTTCAATGATTATAGTGACATAGTCCAGCTGTAATTAGTATACATGTCCTGATTTGCTGCTGAAACTTAGAATGTAGAATAATTTTTACTCTGTATAAGAATACATGTATACTGCAATATTTGTTCTCATTTCACACATGGCAAGTTTCATTAATCTGGCATCGACATGTGTATCTTAAAAATCATTTCCCCACAACACATATATCAGGATTGGTAACATGATAATTGCTAATATCTGTATTTTAAGAATTACCTCCTTTCCTCTGAAAAAAAAAGAACAACATTTACTAGAAACGTTTTAATACATCACAGCATTTTATTTAAACTAATCATCGCCCATATGACATTATTGTGTCATTTTTTATTTCTCTAACACCAATGTCATGAAATTAATATCCCTTTGAGTAAAAATTGTTTTTGTTTATCATGTCTTTTTTATGCTCCCCGAAAAATTTCGGGGGAGCATATAGTCGTCGGGTTGTCCGTCCGTCCGTCCGTCCGTACGTACGTCCCGAATTCGTGTCCGGCCCATAACTTTGTGATTTGAAGTTGGATTTTAAAACTATTTCACAGAAATGATCACCATATTGAGACGACGTGTCGCGCGCAACATTTGGGTCGCTACCTTGAAGGTCAAGGTCACAGCATGACCTTGCAGCAAAATCGTGTCCGGTCCATAACTTCATTATTTGAAGTTGGATTTTAAAAATATTTCACAGAAATGATCACCATATTGAAACGACGTGTCGCGCGCAACATTTGGGTCGCTACCTTGAAGGTCAAGGTCACAACATGACCTTGCAGCAAAATCGTGTCCTGTCCATAACTTCACTATTTGAAGTCGGATTTTAAAAATATTTCACAGAAATGATCACCATATTGAGACGACGTGTCGCGCACACATTTGGGTCGCTACCTTGAAGGTCAAGGTCACAGCATGACCTTGCAGCAAAATCGTGTCTGGTCTATAACTTTGTTATTTGAAGTTGGATTTTAAAAATATTTCACAGAAATGATCACCATATTGAGACGACATGTCGCGCGCAACATTTGGGTCGCTACCTTGAAGGTCAAGGTCACAGCATGACCTTGCAGCAAAATCGTGTCCGGTCCATAACTTTGTTATTTGAAGTCGGATTTAAAAAATATTCCACAGAAATGATCACCATATTGAGACGATGTGTCGCGTGCAACATGTGGGTCGCTTCCTTGAAGGTCAAGGTCACAGCATGACCTTGCAGCAAAATCGTGTCCGGCCCATAACTTCCCTATTTGAAGTTAGATTTAAAAAGTATTTCACAGAAATGATCATCATATTAAGATGACGTGTCATGCACAACATTTAAGTCGCTACCTTGAAGGTCAAGGTCACAGCATGACCTTGCAGCAAAATTGTGTCCGGCCCATAACTTCCTTATTTGAAGTCAGATTTTAAAACTATTTCACAGAAATGATGACCATATTAAAATGGCGTGTCATGCGCAACATTTGGCTCGCTACCTTGAAGGTCAAGGTCACAGCATGACCTTGAAGCAAAATTGTGTCCGGCACATAACTTCATTACTTGAAGTCGGATTTTACAACTATTTCACAGAAATGATCACCACAATGAGACATTGTGTCGCGCGCAACATTAGGGTCGCTACCTTGAAGGTCAAGGTCACGGTATGACCTTGCAGCAAAATCGTGTCCGGCACATAACTTTGTTACTGGAAGTCGGATTTAACAACTATTTCACAGAGATGATCACCATATTGAATCGATGTGTCGCATGCAACATTTAGGTCACTACGTTGAAGGTCAAGGTCACAGCATGACCTTGCAGCAAAATAATGTCAGGCGCATAACTTTGTTATTTGAAATCGGATTTTACAACTATTTCACAAAAATGATCACCATATTTAGACAATGTGTCATGCACAATATTTGGGTTGTTTTTACACTTTGAACTTTGTCTGTGACATAACTCTGACACAACAAGAGGTATACCTTCCTGTGTCCAAAACCTGTTCGGGGAGCATCACCCGGTTCAACCGGCTCTTGTTTATTGTTTAATATTATTCATTATTCTGTCGGTTTTTCCTTTTACCCACAGTCTTCATATTTGGTATTAAGATTGATCATTATTAGTAGATGATCCCCTTTGATTTTGAGGTCAAAGGTCAAGGTCACAGGGGCCTTGACTTAAAAAAGCTTGTCCACCCAATAACTTAAGATTCCTTAGACCCACAGTCTTCATATTTAATATGAAGGTTGGTCATGACCATTAAATAACCCCTATTGATTTTGAGGTCACTGGGTCAAAGGTCAATGTCACAGGAGCCTTGACTAAAAAAAGCTTGTCTGCCCAATAACTTAAGATTCCTTTGACCCACAGTCTTCATAGTTGGCATTGAGGTTGATCTTAACCATTAGATGATCCCCATTGATTTTGAAGTCACTGGGTCAAAGGTCAAGGTCACAGGAGTCTTGACATAAAAACTATGTCGGCTCAAATGCTTAGGTCAACAGTCTTCATATTTAGTATTTAGGTTGTTTATGACTAGTAGATGACCCCCATTGATTTTTTGGTGACTGTGTCAAAGGTCAAGGTCACAGGGATTTTTACTATAATAAGCTTGTCTGCTCGATTGCTTAAGAATGCCTGTCCGCAGTGTATTGATTTTGACATTTTCACATTTGAAGCATGTAGAATACATAACTTAGCAATGCATTGGCTTTGGCAGGGAGGTTGTCCTTGAGCTCTAAATGGCCACTGTTGATTCTGACAAAGTGGTTTGCTGGGGTATTAACGCCATGATAGGGGCAGTTAAATTTGATCCTGATCCTGGACATGTCCATGTAGGATTTTCGAAAATACAGCAAGGAAAAGGTTAACCAGTACATTTTGTTTAATTACAGGATTGGAAAGATAATTATGTTACAGAGAAGAACATGGATGATGCATTGGAAGAGCTGTTAAACTCTCGTGTTCATTATGACTTTGCATTAAATCCAGATGGAACAAAAACAACTGATCCTGTTCAAACTGAAGCTGAACAAAAAAAATCTAGCTAGAAGGAAAATCAGATTGGAAACTTTTGCAGCTTTAATGTTTTATTTAACAAAATTGAATTTTACAATTGCATACAATATGTAATAAATTGAAATACAATTATTGAGTTGCCATTCAATTTTAATGAGATTCAAAAGGCAAAACGATGAAGTGGAGGAAAATTATTTTTCTATATTTTATGTGTATATGTTGTTGAAAGAATTTGTAAATGTCATCACAGATAACTGTTGGAATATAGATGATCATAATGGATTTCTCCTTATAATTTTTAGTTCCTTGAAATTAAGGAACCTCACTGGCCATTACAATCCTTTCACAACTGTTAGAATCCTGCCTAATGTACCCAGCTTGTGAAAGGTGGGTGTTCTACCAATGTGCTTTCTTGTGTCTGAAATAGACAAATTTTAGGTCTTCCTGTGTCATTAAAGCCATACATACACCTCTAGATTGGGAAACATCATACTTTCGCTGATGTTAAGATAATGACAATCAAAGCTGTTGAGAAATATTGAAGTGTTCATTATTCTTAAATGATAGAAATTTAATATGATAGAAAATGAGTGTATTTACTTTTTTAAACACCTGAAAACTATTTGATACACATTATAGTATGGCATTTTCCATAAGGCTGTACATCTGATTTTAGTGGATAGACATTTTGGGATAAGGGTTTTTAATAATAGGATGCAACATGAAACATAGACAGATGGTTAAATGGAGTGTTTGCACATCATTTGAGATCTTGAAACATGGACAGATGGTTAAATGGAGAGTTTGCACATCATTTGAGATCTTGAAACATGGACAGATGGTTAAATGGAGTGTTTGCACATCATTTGAGAAATGATGATGTATCTTGAAACATAGACAGATGGTTAAATGGAGTGTTTGCACATCATTTGAGATCTTGAAACATGGACAGATGGTTAAATGGAGAGTTTGCACATCATTTGAGATCTTGAAACATAGACAGATGGTTAAATGGAGAGTTGGCACATCATTTGAGATCTTGAAACATGGACAGATGGTTAAATGGAGTGTTTGCACATCATTTGAGATCTTGAAACATGGACAGATGGTTAAATGGAGTGTTTGCACATCATTTGAGAAACGAGGATGCATTTTGAAACATAGACATGTGGTTACATGGAGAGTCTGCACATCATTTGAGAAAGGAGGATGCATTTTGAAACATAGATAAATAGAAGTTTGCAGATTTTTTATACATCATTTTGAGATTTTTGGATGCTAAAGCAACAAAACAATATTTCATGAAACATGGAATACATATATATTCACATTACCATATATCAGGAATTTTTTGTCGCTATATTCATAGTCAAAAAATAAATAAGCTAAAATTAAATTCAGTACAAATAAGTATGTATGGTTTCATAACTGGATTCCCTACTTTAGTTTTGCTACTAGTAGAGTTGAAAATTATACATTTAAGTATTCTATTATAAAACTGCAATGCCCAGAGCTTGGATGCATCACCTTGTGGTGTTCTACATAAGTTATATAAATCCTGCCTCTTGCCAAACAATTGATCACTTAGTTTATATAGACTAGTATAGGAAAATACATTATACATTCTTTTGTGATTCTTCAAGTATGTATTTGGTATATAACATTCTCTAGTAGAATTCTACAAAAGATATGCCCCTTAGGACAAAAATTGCCCCACTCTGGGTGTCACTTTACATAGACTTGTATAGTAAAAATTAGTCAAAAATCTTTTCTGAAATTACAGTGCCCAAAGCTAGGAAATACATGTATATTGGTGTAGGATCACCTTGAAGTCTTCTACAAAAGTTATGTAATACAGAGGTCAAAATTTTCTCGGCCCGGCCCGGCAGTCACTTAGTTTATAAAGACTTGTATAGTAAAATAGTTTTTCAACTTGCATTGAAGTCTTCTGTTGTAAAGCTAAAATGCCAAGACCTTATATATTTGGTATGTAGGTTGTCTAGTGGACCTCTACAAGAGTTTTATGCCCCTAGGATCAAAATTGGCAGTGCCCTTGAGAGTCACCTAATTTATATAGACTTTATAGTAAAAATAACTTAAAAAAAAACTTCTGTCCAGAGCTTAGATATTTGACATGTAGCATCAACTTGTGGTCTACTATTTAAGTTACATAAATCATGCCCCTAGTTTATATAGACAAATATACACGTTCAGTCTTCTTCTGTGAAACTACAATGCCTAGAGCCTAAATAGTTAGTATGTTACATGTCTTCGTAAGTTATGTATACCCCATAATTAGAGTCACTAAGTTCATCGAATTGTAAAGGTAAAATATTTTTCTATGGATGTACAATACCCAGAGCATTGGGCATTATGTCCCTTGCAGTCTCCCACAAAAGTTATATAAATCATGCCCACCCTGGGAGCCACTTAGTTGATATAAACTTACATAGTAAAACAAGCCTACTTGTGTGAAATCAAAATGCCAAGAGCTTAGAGCTTCATTTTAAACTCTTAGAACATTTTCTGAAGTTTAAATTGCTTGAAATATTTCGCATGCACCTTTCAGTGATAAGCAACTAAAAGCTCTAAAACCTAGAATTTTCGAAAGTCGAATTTCGAGCTGGAGATGAAATAAGAGCTAGCTTGAAGATGGAATTTCAAACTTTTTCACAGCTGAATTTTGGCCTGAAGTTGAATTTCTAGCCAACTCAAATACCAGAATTCAAAATTTGCAAAGGCCAAATTTTGAGCTGGTGTCGAATTTCGAACGAAATTCTAAATTTTCAAAAGTCGAATTTCAACCTGGAGCTAGCTCGAAGATCGAAATTCAAAATATGCAAAGGCCGAATTACAAGCTGGAGGTGAGTTTCGATTAAAATTCGGTTTAAAGTTTCTTTATGAAACTGTCTGAATTTTGATCTTCAAGCTTGCTCGAACTTCAACTCTAGCTCGAAATTCACAATAATCTGAATTTCGATCTTCGATGTCACTGCTAACTTATCGTTGTCAGTTTCTCTATGCTGCTGTATACTTGTCCAAGTATATTCCAGCATTGTACAGTTAAAATTAATGTTAAATAAACTATAATTGGATCATAGTTTGGGGACCTTTCCTACGGAAGAGCATTAGTGTCAGGTGTGTGTTTTTCATTAAGTTACTTATCTCGAAATTTAGAGTTACTTACTAGAAATTTCGACTTACTAACTCGGAATTCCGAGTTACTCATCTCAAAATTTTAACTTATTAACTCGAAATTTAGACTTACTAGCTCGAAATAGTATAAATCCGTGGTAAGGTATACGCCAGTTAGTTTGTCACGTTTGTTTATACTTATATTTATATTTTTGTAACATTTTTCAAAGATGTTTTTCAATATTCTATTTTCTTTTATTTACTGAGACTTTGATTCATAGTGTGTTGATAGTAGTTGATAAAAGTGGAACTTGTTTTTTGATACTTGTCAGGAATAATATTAAAGCATCTGATTTTACAAGAAACGGAAAAATTCTCGTATAGTCAGCCCAACAAATTTGACAAAGGCCTCAGCACGCCCATTTCTTTGGCCACTCTGCGGTACTTTCGTCAGATGTGAAGTATAGAATCGTTTTATTAACAGGGGTGTGAAGAATATGATAAATGAAAGGTAAGTTCAAACGGATGGGTTACAATACAACGCCCGAAGAACGCCTGAACGTACAAATTTAAGGAAGCCTTGTGTTTTTGGGGTCAAATGTCAAAGTTGACCGAACTTAAGGTTAACTTATTTAAAAGTTTGTCCAGGCACCCGGTTCTCCATCTCCATCGTACAATCGCACTCCCTACTATATCTTATATTATCTAAACTCTTGGTAACTCATAACTTTTTTGCCATTCTGGTAATGTAACGAAGTCGAAATTTCGAGATACGTAACTGGAAATTTCAAGTTAGTAAGTCGAAATTTCGAGATAAGTAACTCGAAATTTCGAGTTAGTAAGTCGAAATTTCGAGTAAGTAACTCGAAATTTCGAGTTAATAAAAACACATACCTGGCACTAATATGCTCTTCCGTACCTTTTTGTCTAAAATGTGTCAGAGTTAAATCATGTACTTATACATGCACAGTGCGTTAACTGGGTATTAGTTACCCGCACTCTAGAGCATGCCCATTGATTGGCTCATTTTTTCTGGGGACGACAGAAAAAGGGAAAGCGACAGAAATATCATATTCAGATGCTCGTTTATTGGTTACTTTTATCTGGGGTTTCATATTAACGTGTTTTTATTTTTAACTATGATACAAAAGAGAAAGAACATGAGAACACTCGGCAATCTGATTTATATTCGGGGGCTATGCCCCCTCGTACAAATCAGATAGCCTTACGTTTCGATGCTCTTTCTATTACACAATTACAATAAAAGTAATAGTACACGAAAGAGCATTGTACCATAACTTGCCTCTATTGATATAGAAAATAGTTATCAAAATAGTTGAAAAATTAAACACAAATCTAGGTTCTCACGGGGGAGAATCACGCCGTTCGTTACCCAAACAAACAAGATGGCGGATGCAGCCAAAATTAGCTTTTCCCTTTTTTCTCTGAAATTCGTGATGTTCTAATGTAAAGGTACATATAATAACCTTCTCCACAATTTTCCTGGCACACAGGATTTTAACTAATGATGTTTCGTCCCGTACTTCATCTGAAATGCGCGTCACCAGATTAGAAGCGAGAGTATTTTCCACCGGTTTGGTCGTGGTAACGTACGGCTTCTATAAAATTCACTGTTTCGTTTACATATATGTATATAAGATGAAACCAAGGACTTTAAAATGTTGAAATATGTCGTCATCTAAGCATTCGTGCCCATTCTGGCGAGAATACTAGTAACCGCTGAAAATATTAATATCGGGGCATTTTCTGGAATTGATAACGTATAGCGCGCAAAATATCAATGATAACGTACGGCGCATTTTTTTCTGATTAATTGATTTTCTATATAATAGAAAAGTTATGTTTACCAGACATAAGAGGATGTGTAGAACCAAATAAAGGAACTGAAATAAACAATATTAGTGTCCAGCAAATGAAAACGCTGTATTTCGTGTAAATTTTCATAGAAGAACAAAAGTCGAGAATATATGAAAGTCCGTTCATAGCAGCCTTCTATTTTCCATTGTACTTCATAGAACCGCGTTCGTAATTAGAATAGGTATAGTGACGTCATAAAATGAATATTAATGAAGCCAAATAAAGCTTGACACTAGGTATGTTTGTATTCATACCTAGCTGTTCTATCG